GACAGACACCGGGACAGACACCGGGAAATACACTGGGACGTAGACCGGGACAGACACCGGGACAGACACCGGGAATTGCCGAACGGGAGGCGTTTTGCCGGTGCCCGCAGCGATGCGCTGGGCGCGGCCCCTGCAGCCTCCCCATTGTGCCCTGCGGGAGGGGACAAGGACCATTTTACCAGTGTCTGCACGGTCTGTCTTGCAGGTTCCAGTGTTCCCATCCACCCTTCAGTGTTTGCCGCATGATCCACGTCTTCCTTGCAGGCAAACGGGGCTCTAGGCCTGAAGGTGAAGCAGCCCAGCCCAGCCTGATGTGTAGGTAAACAAAGCAGCAGTTAAGGGCAGAAACACTGGGTTAGGGTAAACAGTGTGTCCTTCTCGAGTGGCTGAAGGGCAGTGTGATGGGCTTGTCTGCAAAAAGAGATTCCTATGGGCCTGGGAATTATGAACCCAAAGGGAGCAATCCTAACCCAAAGTCAGGTGCCAGAAAGGATGTGGAATTTGCAGGAGAACTACAAAAGAATGTTTTATTCCACTTCTCTTTTATATTGTCACCCCAGACGTGTGTCTGCCCCAGAAGGCCATTGACAGTGGTGGTTTGTTGTTGTGGTCATGCTAGAATTAGGGATTTCAGGCCCTGCTGTGACACTGTTAGGTCTGTGCTGTGCTGCTCCAGGGAGAAATTCAGAGCACGTGGCCCAGACAACACTAAAACTTGAGTCCCTATAATGCAGGTGAATCTTTGGACAGTGAGAGAAATTATAGTTCTACCATAAAATGTGGAAGACAAACAAGCAAACAACCCCCAAACTAACCACCTCCCCAGCCAACCTGAATTCTGTGGGTACCAAAGCCCAACAATTCATTGACTTCATGTGAACCTGTGTGGGTTTAATGAGTTTCTTCCTAAATGCTTTTGTTGCTGTGTTTCCTATCAATGTTTTGAATGAAAAAAACACACTCATGTCATTTTCAGAGACTCTACAGTGGTGCTGTTTTAGTACCACATCATATTGGCAGATTTAGCTTCAGTTCATTAATGCATCAGAATGATGTAGCATAATCTGTCATACATAATCCATAATCAGGCTTTTCCCTTCATGTTGGGGATGTATTCCAGCTGTAAGACCCATGGTCACTTTGTATAACCTTATTTAACCATTAGATCATATTGGTTTTTCCATTTGCTAGAGACCTAAGTGAGGTTTGCATTGGTGGGCAGGGTGCAAAGAGCTGTCAGATTGTCAGTTTTTAAAGCACAGTTACTGTTCACAGATGTTCTCCAAGTTCATTGAGTCTCAGTGAATACACAGACTGAACAGTAGTTTTAATTTCCTGGAAGGCTCCAAATTTGCTCTTCTTGTGGTCTTCTTACTCTACTACTTACACTGGTATGTTAGTCTGATGTGTCTTTCATGGGCCTTGTGATACCTTTATGTGTTTACTGGTTTGTGTAATTCCTTTTCCTTTGCTTCAGGTTGAAAAGATGGGAAATGCAGAAAGCAATGCCTATCAGAATCACCTGTCCAGATTCCTTCCTGAGGAGCAGTCTGACATTGATGGAATGTTTGATACCTTATCAGGACTGAGTGGCTCAGTTGGAGCAAAAGTTGCCAAAGCTACGAAGAAGACTGTGACTCTGGCAGCACTACAGGCAAGACAATCTATTACTCATGATATACCTGGGATGTAGGGCATTGAACAGAATTCCAGAAAGAAACTAAAGACATTGCAGTAGTTATTTTTTTAAGGATTTTTTTCATCTTAATTTAATACTTACTATTTTGGGCAGGATGGATTTTAAGTTTTTCTTCCAGTTTAACATGAGTAGTGACTTTCAGGTTTGCATTTTTCTCTTAAATTGCACTGTTGGGTCCATTTGCAGCTTTCCTGATTCTGAAGTAAGTTGGGATGTATGGAAATAGTTCTACAGGAACCTGCAAAATGGGAAGAATATTCCTCCCCCCACAGAATCTATAATGTGGGGTTATTTACAGATTTTCTTGAGAAGCTGTCACAAAGTCAGGTTGTGTTTGGTTATATGCGTCTCCCTCAGTGCATCACTGTCTCTAATCTGTTCACTTGCACTGAAAGGAGAGAATTCAATTTTGCTTGATGAAGCTGTGGCTCCCTGTTTTAGCTAATTAACATGCATTATGCTTTCTGATTAATTTTGCATTCATTTTCTAATCAAGAAAAGCGAAAAATGATTCATTGCAATACTTGATAACTTCAGTTTGGCAGGAGCTAAGTGGCCAAATGAATGTAGTGGTAAAGTGCATTTTAAGATGTGTTACACAATTAATGGATCAAATTAAAACTAATTGACAGCAGCAGGTTATTTTAAGGTATTTAGCAATGCCTCTGCATACAGACCTGCTTTAGCTTTCCTGCAGCCTGGCTGTTCCTGAGCTGTCACCAGTTGGGAAACAGCATTGCTGTTGCCTGGCTTTTCAGCTGTAATTCATCCAAGAACTTTCCTTGATATTTATTATTTGTTTGGGACTTAGGAGAAGTTATTTTCCAGTTTTGCCCCTGGACCAATGTGACATTTGATGAACATTTGCCTTTTCCCTTCCTCCCTTTTTGTCTGCCAACTTTAAATCTTTTGAAGGACTGCCTGTAGGTGCCTGAGCCCTTGGTGTAGGGACAATCATTCCTGCCTGGTAGGTGTCTGTGCTCTTTGCTGAGCTAGTTTGAGATGTGACAGGTTTGATCTAGCCGTGGTCTGGTAACTCTGAGGAGGCCCTAAACATTACCTCATGTACTCTGCTTAGGCTCGTGCTTTGCTAGAAGGAAACTACACAGCTTGTGGGCCAGAGCAGGCTGCACTGCATGGCTTGGGAAGCAGGTAGAGCAGGTATTTCTAGCTATTTTCTTGAAGCATTCTAAAGGATATCTTGAAGTAACCTTAAAGGATTCTAAACTGTCAGAGATGTGAGTTAGTTAGATGTTTATTAAAGATTCCCTTTTTACAGTCCTTTATTTAACACCCCAGGTCGACTCTTTGGAATAGCTAGAAGCAAAACAAGTGAAAAGAAGTGGTAGGCAGGACAAGGTAGGGAGTAGGGAGGTAATTTATCAGTGTGAAGTAAAAAGCCTTGAATATAGTGTTTTAGTGGTGTTCCCTGCTGCTTCTCCCACTTCAGGCTCACGTAGCACTTTCAGAAAGCCTCTCAAGGACAGCTGTACCCCCTGTGACCATCCCTCCCTCAGCATGGAGCACTCTGATGTGCAAAGCTGTGACTGCTATTTCTACCCCTGCTGAAATCAATGGGAGTTTTACCACTGACGTCAATGAGTGCAGCAGACCTTGGGATATTGGATCTCTCTAAGCCCAGCAACAGCCATTACCATTGAACAGGAACAGCCCAGGTGGCTTCCACAGGAGTGGTATTGAGCCAGCAATAGATCCACAGTAGCAGCTCCACTGAGTGGAGCTGGAATAGTGCTTTTAGGCAGGTAGAGCTCCATTGATTTCAGCTTAGCCCCCACTGGGCTTACACCCCTGTAGAGAAGAGGCAAATCAGATCTTTAGCATGTTGTGCACAGTGAGGACACTGTGTAATCGTGGCCTGGTGTATGGATGTATTTTAGATTATTTATTTTTAAACCATGAAATTATCTTGAACACTGTGAAAGTTGAATCCAGAGTCAGATCTGTCCCACAGGGCTGTGCTGTGTGATGGTGCACACCAGTTAGATTTCAATTCAAAGGGCCAAACATGAAAGACACGTGAATAACTTCTGATTTCAACTGTCTTAACATCGGGCATGCCTTGTAAAAGTCAAATTATCTCAACTTTATTCCATACTTCCATCAGTTGTTATGCAGAGGGAAACTTATCAGAGTTATTTCTACCTGTATGTGTAGGGTTAAACACATTACCTTGAGGCCAAAACTGAGAGATGGAATAAACTTATACTTGCTCTTAGTTTTTAAGTATCTTTGAACTCCACTATCAAAAGCAGAGTTGAAACATAGTTTGGCAGAGTTGTAAACCTTTACAGCAGAGTAACAATGTAGAAACCCTATGTTATTATCCCTGTTGTTACAGGATACAATATCCTTGTGCTACAGTGGTGTTTTTTCTGAAGTCCATGGCATTTCTAGAAGAAGTGTATCAACCTAAGTCACTAAATAGTATTTGAGAGGCTACAAAAATAGCCATTTTTTAATTCTCTTGGAAAACCAATCCTTTAGTTTGTTGCTGATAGTAGATACTTGGTGTTGAAATCTGTCATTTATAGTGGTATATCTCAGCACAGGTTACCTGGAATACATCAATTATTCTTCATGTTCTTTGGTCTCCCTCTCCCTGCAGGCACACACGAGGGAGCCTCTGCCAGAGCACATGACTCTTAGGTTGTACAATGGGATGAAGAGTATTGACCTGCCTGGGAAGTCATCTGGGCTGAGTGAACAGATTGCCAAGGAGCAGTTTGTTATTTTTATGTCGCACCTCTTAAAAGGGAATGCAGATGAGAAGATTACCATAATAATGAGAATGATCTCCAAGACAGGAGGGCCTGTGAAGGGCAAACAAATCCAAGAGGTAAAAGGGCAGTTAAGGTGTGTTGGGGGGACAGTAAGAGAACAGGGCTATGTTTAAGAGCCATCAAGGGCTGTGGTGTGGCTGGTGCTTCTGGGAACTGAGTAAAATACTTGTTAGTGCTTTAGTTGCAGGATCAAGTATGTGTTTGGAAGGTGAAAGAGTGGGATCTTGCAAACCAGTAATTCACCTGCAGCTCCTACCACTGCAAAATTTGGATCTCTCCTCCTTCTTTCGTGACGTATTTTATGGAGATGCTTTAGGGATGCGTTGTACATTTTTTGTACAAAATGTCTTGAAAAAGGATCCTCTTCAAGACCTGTGACACTAAAATAGAATTATAGAATCATCAAGGTTGGAGGAGACCTCTAAGATCAAGTCCAATTCTTAACGTGTCACTGCTGTAACCTCTAAACCATAAACCATATCCTCCAGTGCCAGGTCCAGACACCTCTTAAACACGTCCAGGGGTGGTGATTCCACCACCTCCCTGGGCAATATTCTAGTGCCTGAATACAGTAACAGTGAAAACATTTCTCCCAACATCCAGTCTGACTCTGCCCTGTCTCAGCTCAAGGCCATTCCTTCTAGTCCTCTCCCTGCAGCCATGGCAGGAGAGACATCTTCCATCTCTCTCCAACCCTGTCAGGGCATTGGAGAGAGCCATGAAGTCCCCCCTGAGCCTTTTCTCAAGGCTAACCAAGCCCAACTCTCTCAGCCCTTCCCCATGTGCTCTAGCCCTTTGCTGCCCTCGCTGCCCTTGGCTGGACTCGCTCCAGTGCCTCAATGGCCTTTTGGCAGTGAGTGCCCAAAGCTGAGCACAGCACTGAACTGTGACCTCTCCAGTGCTGAGCACAGGGGGATGAGCATTGCCCTAGTCCTGCTGCCACACCATTCTGTAATTCCTGACTCATGAGAAGAGGTGTTTCTGCTTTTGGGTTACAGCATCAGTACCATTTAACTTTACTTTCAAGCAAGTCCTTTGAATCTCTTGGCAGTTTCATTTAAGAAATGCCAAAATGATGATGTTTTAATCTTTTCAGTTCACAGAGGATCTGATCACATCTATAGTCCATGTGCTGAGCTACAGGAAGGAACTGAAAGGTTGGAATTTGGAGAATACTAGGGATTCTGCAAGTGGAGTAAAGGCTTTGGCTTCTCAGCTGCTCTCAGAACTGAAACTTGCAGGTAAGCAGCCCTGGTGTGGCATAGCCCAGAGTGGCACAGGACCTGTGTAGTCACCGCAAACTGTGAGAATTTCTCTATTCAGGTCACATCTTTCAGTGAGAAACCAAAATTTCAAACCCAGTGCTTTGCAGATGACATGGGAATTTTATTTATTTTACCTTATCATCTTTCTCCCCTGCAGTCAGGAGAGCTTTGGTTTGAAGTCCCTCCCACTTCAAGTGAACATGCAAAACTATTTGTTGTGGAACATGTCTATTTTACAACTACCTGACTTTCAGATGATGGGCATCTAAATATTACATATTTAAATATATTTATCATATATTTGTGACTGTATTTCCTTTTACAAAGCATAGGTCTGTCTTTGCACTGTTGTAATAACAGATTTTGCTGTCTTGCAAAGAAAGTCTCATGAGTTGTAGCTAGAGTCCATGTTTCTAAATCACAACAGCCCAACCAGTGAGTGTCACAGGTAAATGTTTCTCAGTTCTCTGGTTGCATCTACTTAATGCAATTGACAATTTACTGTCTCTGACTCTTTTCACATGTGGTTTCCTGTCCATTATAATAGTAAAATATTGTGTTTTCACTTAAAAATCAATTGATTATTTTCCAGACTGGGAGACTTATTCCTCTTTCTGTGTGTCTTATTATTTAGATGGGACAAAACCTGTGGGTCCTCAGCTGCTGGAGACAAGTTTTGACCAAAGTGTCATTGAGGACTGGGTGTATAGAGTTCCACAGATCTCAGCTTTCCTCAGTGTTGTTGTCAGACAAGGCCTCCACGTTCTGCATTCTCTCCCAGACCAAACCAATGACATACTCAACCTGGTTCCCCGCTGCAAAGGCATCAAAGGACGAGGACTTGTCAGTCTCTTTGACATCCCATCCATCATCTACATCAACTCCCACCTGCCTGCAGAGCTCCAGCACAAGTGGCAGCTCTTATTTTCTTCTAGGCTCCATGGAGAAAGCTTTTCCCAGTTGTGTGGGCACATAGTCAACAAAGGGCCCTGCATAGTGATCTTAAAGGACTTGGATGGTTATCTCTTTGGTGGGTTTGCATCTCACTCCTGGGAGGTAAAGCCACAATTTCAAGGTAAAACTCACTTTTCTTTTTCTAGTATTCATGGCTCTGGTGAATATTCCCAGTTCTGTACAGGTACAAGAATCCTTGATGGATCCTGTCACTTTACTGCCATAACACCCAGTATTTCTTTACTTCCAAGTGTATTTTTCTATGGCAAAAATAACCCAAATTTTCAAAAACCATAAAACACATGCAAAGTTATTCTTGGCATAGCAGTCAGGCATGACACTGATTTATATTTATAGCTTGTTATTTGACAAGACTTTTAAACTTGCAGGAGTTATGATTGATCATGGAACAAGTTTTCAAGGAAATCTATCAAGCTCTGTAGCTGCATAGGTTGAAAGTCAAATGAAAATGAAGGAAATACAGCACAGATGATTAAATAATTTGTCCACAGGATGGCAGTCCTCCATCTCAGAACACCTCAGCCAAGCTTTAGATTGAGTCTCCTGTCTCTGTCTCTGTTTCCTTTCTAAAATCCATCAGCAAAAGGGTTCCTTGGGCAAGCTAAGTTTTTGTTTGCTTGAAAATTCTGGGGAGAAAAGAGAGAGTTTTTCATAACTCTTTAGAAAGAAATTTCTTGATGGATTTTTGCAAAAAAAATATGGGCTTTGGCTAATGTGTGCTGCCAGGAATCCTCACTTTGGCTACATTAGAAACTCAATTCCTATACTTGATTAGTATTTAATAATTACCACTTCAGTCAGTTAATCTAATGCTATGTTATGTTGATTACACAACACTTTCCTTGTATTTTTTCCTGATGGAGTAACACATAAAGCACACTGGGAAATCACCCCACAGGCCCTCTGAATGCCAAACTGGGCATAATGAAAACTAAATCAATGACTCTGAACTGGTCTATATATCAATCTAGTCAGGACTAAGAGTGTCTGCACTCCCATCAGTGTGTATGGATCTGGCAGTTGGCCAGTTTGAGATGGCACAATGCAGCCTGTGGCAGGTGTACCCTTACACAGTGACATATTGTCCTAGTCATGCCCCTGACTCTGCCCTTGATCACAGCCTAGAATTGCATTGATTTCTGTGACCCTACACAGAGTTAACTGAGAATAAACAATAGGTCTAGATCTTGATGAGAGAGAGCTATTGGCTTTCTGGGATGGCAGCTGCTGCCTTTGAGTTATTCAGCTTCACTTCTTTAACTATTTTTTCTATCCTATTTGTAGGCAACTTATTGCTTGGCCAGTTGTCTGATCTCAGGTGCTTTTCTGTTTGCAGGTGACAACAGATGCTTTCTGTTTTCTGTATTCCCCTCTCTTGCTGTATACACATACACAGGGTACAATGACCACTACATGTATTTGAACCACGGCCAACAAACTATGCCAAATGGACTGGTAAGTATTCAGAAATAACAGTTTGGAGATTGGATTCATGGTTGGTGTTTGCAAGTGGTTTGTATTTTTTTGCTGCTGTTACTGTGAGCAGATTAATTTTGTTATTCTCTGAGGAAGTTTTCAACCCTTTGCTGTGCTATTTGTGCCACACTTATAGTAGGAGCATTTTGTTTGGGTTTTTGGTATTAAAGCATCAGTGTAAAGTGTGAACTATATATAATGATGGAGAACCACTTACAGTACTGATGGAGCCTTTACAGTTGATATGTATGTTCTAGTACTGAATCAACTAAGCTGGAATTTATTTGTGTCTGACCCAAGCAGGTGAGATTTATGTAGGTTAGATTTTTGGAGGTTCTGGGAAGAAACCTTTTTGCCAAGTTTGGTTATCACAGAAGCACTTGTAGGAGTCCTGCCTGGCAGAATTGACTGCATGTATCCACATGGCTGAAGCAGCATAAGAGAGCTGATCTGTGTAACTGAGGATCCTTCCTCTGGCTGTTCTCACTGCCACACTAACTGCTGTTTAAATTATAGAATAGAAAGCCCAACAGAATTAGAGTGCAAAGAGTGCAAGGAGCTGCTGCTGCTGTGTGATCACAGTGGCAGAAGCTCCTCTTACATTCACAAATGAGCTCTCCAGATGCAGAGGAGTTTCTACAGAGCCACAACACACCACCTGTTTGGAAACTGCTTTACAGTTTTGGAGCATTGCGTGCCCGTAACTTTGGGAATTGCAGCAGGCTGGAATTAATTTGCTCTGAAGAGAGTAAACAACATCAAATGACATCATTTGTTTTGGTAGCTACTTTTCTAAATGGAAAAGGGGCAGCAAACCTGAGCACTGTGACCCTGTTTGAAATGGAACTGTTAGTCAATAAACAAAACCCAGGAGCTAAATCTCTGGCACAACACACAGATAAAGGTATTCTGTAAAGCACAGAGGGAGGGCAGTGTCACTCAGGTAAATTCTTGTTTGGCTTCAGGAATAAGGCACAGAAGCCCAGGGTCACTCAGAATCCTCCTTTTCACCTACCCATAAAGTATGGCATAAATTCTGCAATTTATCCTCTAGGTTTCATCACTTTAACCTGTACAGCAAGTGTCTAATGTGCAGCTTTGGTTTGCAGGGTATGGGTGGACAACATGGATACTTTGGGCTCTGGATAGATAGTGACTATGGGAAGGGACACAGTAAAGCAAAACCTCGATGCACCACCTACAACAGCCCCCAGCTGTCAGCCAAAGAGGATTTCACACTGGATGCCATGGAAGTTTGGGCAGTGGGAGATGTTCCTGAAAGTGCAGCGGTAGGTGAACCTGTGAAATTGTGTCCTGGTTGGAATAGAAGATGCAAATGCAAAACTCAGTTGCAGTTTGGTGATTGAACACTGTCCATCTTGTAGTGAATAATATTTTCTTTAACTGGCCCTGTGGTGCCAAATATTTTGTAGCAGGCAAATAGCAAAACTAGTGGAATTGTTGAGGATGTCAACAAGAAAGAACATGAGGAGCCATGGAGTGATAGTGTCAGGAGAGCATTGCTTCATCCTGAATTTCAAAAGGCTTTTCCAGTATTGAGAAATGGTCTCTGGGAGGAACCTTCTTAGAGGGTTCAGTAAACCCAGTGTTTCTAGACTAGAAAACAAGCAGTGAAACTCACCATGAAGCCTAATCTGTAAGTCAGGAAGAGACCTAAAATATTTCTTTATCAGTAGCTTTAAATCTACTATTGTTTAACCCTAAATTTATGGGATTAGCTTTACATTAGTCTTTCTGTACTTGGTTTGTTTCTGAGCATGAGCAGGAGCTCTTTTCCAATCTCTGTCCCTGTAATTTATTCCATTATTATACTGTTCTGTACAGTTTGGTGTTGTTTTTTTTAAAAAAATTTCCTTCTTTTCACCCTAAATTCACATGACCTGCCTGTCCACAAAGCTCTAAATAGAAACAGAACACACTGTTTACAGAAAATGTTGAATTGTAATTGAATCTTTTCTCTATAAAAACCTTCACATTTGCACTTCAGCCTGAGGTGAGGTTAACAAGGATATTCTGGCTTGTAACCTGAATAAACTTGATGTACTTCACTGTCATCTTAAGAAAAGTTTATTACTATTTTGTGCAACTGCAGCAATATAAACCATTTGATGTATCCCAGTGCATCCCAAATTCCTTACTTGGGCAGTGTGACTGCTTTGCTGTGCCCAGCTTGCAAACCAGATCACTTAGGGACTTGGGTGTCTTTTTGCTGTAACCTGCTGTGGATTTATTCATACTGACATTTTAAATTGACTATATTTTGATTTGTTTTGAAGGCAAAAGGCAAGAAGAGTATCCTGGATGTGGATCCTGAGGCTCAGGCCTTGCTAGAAATGGCTGGAAAAAGTCGTCAGAGCGAAGGTCTCCGAGAACCCATTGAAGAGGATGAGGATGAGGATAATTAGAGGAATCACAGTAAAAGGAAGAAAACATTCTTTTTTTAATGTACTCCTTTGTGTTAAATGTTCCTTGGACAGGCTGGGTTTTTTCCTCATTTTTTTCTTCCCTTAAATTTACCTAATTATCTGGGACAAAGCTTAAGCCTTGTACTTATGTAATATTTGGGTCAAACACAGTATTCTGCCTGAAGGGTTTTGTTTGGGAAGGACAGAAAAATTCACTAGGTACATAATGATTAGGCATATCTAAGTTGTAGCTGGGTATAAATTTGGTAGCATTCTATATAGATCCTGTCTGCATACAAAATTCAAAGCAGCAGAAGTTACTGCCAGTAAGGTTTACTGACTTGGAGAATTGATATGTACATATTTATGTATTTATAAAACCTCCTCAAGACACTGATTAAGGTTCTTATACCTCAGCTGCACATATTTATTTGCATGCAATGGAATTAGTCAGCAGAGCTTGCAAATTGTGATGATGTCTTACATTGGTGAACATAGATTAGTCCATGTCATTCCATATGAAAGATGCTGTTCATTTGCATTGCTTCAGTTAAAGCATTAAATTTCATGTTTTCTAAGTCAGATTTTCTGCAAGGGACTCCATATGGGCTGTGAGGTCTCCAAAATAGTATAATGCAACAAGATGTTGTATAGTTCTACACTATCCTTAGTGCATCTCACTTCAGATGCTTCTGCAGAAATTTGACTATTGCTTTTTAAACTTAGACAGAATCATTGGAATTATTCAGCCATATTTATCCTAAGGATGGACCATACCTCCAGCAGAAATCCTCTAGGGAATGTACAATCTTCTGAAAGTCCAGGCTGTAAAAAGGGTTAAGGAAGAAGCAGCCACAGTTAATTGGGAATAGGAACTGCAGATACCTTGTGAAAGAAATAAAAATCAGGGTTATGTCTGTAAAAAGAAAAATGCTGTACACTTTATTTACACATAATTAATCATTACTGTATTATAGAAAAGAATACCTACAGTGTGAAATGCAGCTGGTTGGGGTTTTTGCTCTGTGTGGTGGCTGCTCACCAGTCAGCACCAGTTTTGTCAGGTGTCTTTTATACTCAGGGCTTTTTCTACTTGAATTTGTTCACATCTCTTAGTAATTATTAGTTTGACCTTGTTAATTCTACGTGTAATTAACTTGTCAAAAATAAGCCTAATTTCTACCAGGGACTGTCATTTCTAACTCAGCAAATTGTGTTTGGTTATTAGTGTCTATGATTGACAGTCTTTTTCCTCCTGAGGAAAAGGACTGTATCCAATCCTCTGTGTCCTCGCATGAGTTTATCTTCTGTGCAGCTTAGAGCAAAATATGTCCATAGAATTCTGCAATTCCCAATCCAATGCTCTTCCTTCAAATTCTTTCCCTTAGTGTTTTCTTGTATGTGGTGTATTTTCCCACCTGTTATTTTTCCTATTCTGAATAATCTGCACTTGTGCCTTAATGTAGATCTCATTTTTAAAAATGATATTATTAAACAATCTGAATTTAGCCTTGAAGGCATGAAGAAAACACTCCTAGGCACCCTAGAACTCAGCTGTGCATTTTGTACACTACCTGAACTAACGATTGAGGCATATGTGGTATTTGTTCCGGCACAGAGTATGCTGTGAAAGGCTTGAGCTGATATCCTTTCATTTTCTATTTTCCTTCAGTAAACCAAATAGTCTCCCAAGTTTGTAACACATAGAAGAAAGTGTAAGCATCAAAGCAATTGCACTGATACTTTTGTATAATCTTCTTCTCTGTATATATTGATAAGGATGTTAAATGGTACAACATAGGGGGTGGTTTGTAGACCGCAATATGATGCTCTCTGCAAGTGTGGTGATGCCAGTTTTGTTTTACATCCTCAAACTCCCACCCTAAGTCTCAGAGGTATTCACCTAGGCACTGGCTAAGCCTGCTGCATTCTCCATGTGGATGGTATCCAGGAATGAGCCATCATTGAATTTCTGCAGTTACACGTTAAACAAAGAGCTAGGCTTTATTTTCCTTCCACAAGGCAGAACTTGTCTTTGAGAACTGAAACCATCTGCAAGGGTTTTAGCAAAAAAAGTGAGCAGACACCTTTGCAGACTTTGGGGAGGGTGAGTGGCACAAAACCAACTCTTCAGCAAAAATATTTCAGGGGCCAAGTTTTCTTTGATTTATAATAAGTCTCTGTATAGCTGTTTCTTTCTAAACTATGAATCCCAAATGTAATCCTGTTTAAACATCACCTTGTGACTATCAGCATAGCATTGTGACCTCTGAAAGTGTAGCTTTTTGACAAGTTTGTGCCTGAGACTCTTCATCTTCAGTGAAGGTGTTAGGTTGGGGCAAGGAGAAAACTGACACTATAGCACTTCAGCAGATGTCTCAGTGAAGCATTATTTACTAGGACACTACTGATCCAACCAGATGGGATTATTCAGAATTGTTCTTTAATGTAAAAGATTGGCTTGGGAGAGACTCCTTTTTTTCCCTGAATCAAGGCTGGATATCTGGGAATCCAGAAACACTAAAGATTGACTACAGAAAAAGAATTCCTAATGCAAGCAGATCTTTCCCATTCTTCAAATGTAATGTACAACAACAGGTCTAAATCAAGTCTCACGCAGATACTTGTCAACAACATTTTAAAACATAGATTTTTATTAATAAAAAGAATTTTGATTTAAATAAATAAAATTTCAGTCTATGCACAATAGATTTTTCTGTACAGGTGTGAAACTCTTTTTTGTCTGGGACTATCACAGCCTTCTTGACATATAGATGAATGTTATAAAAATATACCTGATCTCAGTTTAAAACAGGAGGTGCTCCAGAGGCTTCTGTAAGCAGCTCAAGTGGACTGTGTAGAAGAGACTTTGGGGTAAGAGCTGTTGGTACAGATGCACTTGAGCATCTTCAGGAAGGATGTGTGGTGTCCTAAAGTGATGCCTTTGGATTCTTCAGCATCAAAGCTCAGTTCCAAGTATGTTTTAGAGGAAGTCTGAGGTCAGTCATGACATCCCTTCTTGTGCTTGGGGCAGCAGAAGTGCTGCTCACAGAGTTTGATGAGCTCAGACACAACGAACACTGAGGAAGCCAATCCAGTGAGGAACAGCAGGTCTGGCAGAGGAAACAGTGGAAGTGAGCTCAGCTGGGCAAGAATCCCAGCTCAGGGCCTTCCTGCAGCAGGTATTTGTGCTGGTGTAACCCCATGGACTCACTATGCCTGTGCCAGCTGGAGAATTAGGGAAATAACTGCAGTAGACAAGGGACAGCCAGAGCTGGTATAGTCCAGTGGGAGGGTGGAAACCTCTACAATAATAATTTGAGATCCTTGACCTTTGTTTTTGACAACAGGCCTAATGCAGATACAACACAATGTGGTAGTGTGGAATTTTCTGCTTCAAATAGTAAAATCTGCATTGTATTTCAGCTGGGAAACCTTCACCTGGCTCTTTCCGGGGAGTGACTGCACAGTGATCCATAGGGAAATATCACACAGCACTCATGGGAAATCTTGGCATGTCTCCTTTGACTTGCATTTATGTGCAATAAGTCAGCTCAAAAACTATGCTGGGGTAATATTAAATACTGTACTATTTGTGTGTACATCTATAGGTGTAGGAGCTGTTTGATTTCCCCTGCCAGTGATGTGTTGGCAGCTAACAGGTAACACACTGGGAATGGCATCTCTTTTTTAAATATTTTGAATGAAACCCACATTATTTATTTTGCAACTTACCTAGCACTCCTAAATTCTCTGTCTGGAAGACCTTTTGTAGTGGAGGGATGTATATGACAGCGAGCTGCCCCAAAACTGACCCAAGCACAGAGTACAGGAACATGCGGTTTCGAAAGAAGCCAATTTCAAATATCAACTTTGTCTACAGAAGGGGGAAAAAAAAAGAGAAATATTATATTCCCAAATTCTGTTGGTACTTGAATGTCACTGCTGCATGTAAACTCCATTACTTCTTGGAGTCAGATAAATGCTAACTTAGGCAGAGCTACATAGTTGCCACATACAACTGCATATTTGATGCACATAGTTGAAATGTACAACTACATTGTGTAGTTGCAGTTGAACTGTGACGGATAACTATTTATACAAAGAGTTGATAAAAAACATACTGCTTAAATGACATTGAAAAACCCCTTCCTATGCAAAATACTGGTATTCTAATGCTTGTGTTTGTGATTTGAGACAAGAGCTTACTGCTGACAGAGCAATCTCACCTGGGAGCGGCACGTCAGGGCATTGAAGAGGTCAAAAAACACAAAACAGGTAAAAGTCATCGTTGTGGTTCGAGGAGTTATGCCACTTTTTGTATTCTGGAAGCACATGTAAAAATTCAGTGAAGTCTTATAAAAATATGTCCATTGAATAGAGGAATTAAATGCTCCCTTTAGTGATCCCAGTCACATCGAAGGGTAGGAAAACAAAGGAGCAAGTCTAGTTCTAGCTGTTATAGGTAGCGTTAATTTTTCTCTGCTAATTGTTGGGTTTATGATCTTATCCACCATGGTTTAAATTCTTACACTGATGTGGAATTGGAGTAAAAAACATTCTAAATTACACGATTTAAACTGTTCAAGCAGCAGTCACTATTTATCAACAGCAATCAATAGTACTTCAGTACTTGGCATTTTCTACTGCATGGAAAGCTAGAGGTGAAAAGTCCCTTACACTATTGATATCACATCAAGTAATTATTTTCCCATTCTAGCTAGGCAGCTCCAAATTAGAGGCAGCACAGGAAAGCAGAAGCACAGCTAGGAGCTGACCCTGGTTTCTCAACTCTCTGTCTGCACTGATCCTTCCCCGTGGGACGTACTCCAAGAAGCCCTTCCCATGTCCTTCAAAAACTGCCCTTCACTTTGTTCTCCACCCTGATGGAAACAAGATCCAGCTGCAGATTTTCCTCACCTCCTTCCAGAAGACAAAGAGGGTTCCACTGATGATAATGATAGCTGACACAAAGATTTTCAGGATGAGTGATTTGCTGA